TGATTTAGTTAATTTGAATGATGCTTTAAAATTATAGGTTTATTATGGATTGAATGAATTATTAGGAATTATAGGTGTATTGTTTTCCTGCTTTGGCGATCAATTTATTTGTCGCGACTAATATATAATTTTTTTTCACAAAAAATTACAATTGCCGACCAACAGTTTTGGTCGCAAAAAATACATTTATTGCCGACCAAATAGCTCTTGGTCGTGGAATCTCACTTTTGCCGACCAAAAGTTTTGGTCGCGAAAAGTAACAAATGGCGACCAAATTTTTTGGTCGTGGAATGTCACAATTGGCGACCAAATTTTTTAGTCGTTGAATGTGGTAATTGGCGACCAAACTTTTTGGTCGCGAAATGTGTCAATTGGCGACTAAGATATTTGGTCGGGAAAATATCACTTTCGCGACCAAACTGTTTTAGCGACAAAATGAATTAGTCGCGGTAATTGAATATTTAGCGACCAAAAATTTAGTCGGCAAATCCAACTTTTGCCGACCAACCAAAATTTTGGTCGCGAATTACTTTTGCCGACCCCCAATTGGCGACCAAAGTAGCGACCAAAAAAATTGGTCGCGGATAACTTTTCCCGACCAAAAATGGACTTTTAGCGACCACTTTTTTTGTTGCCAAAAGTGTTAATTCTTGTAGTGAATACACAAAGAGATTATGCCAGCATCGTATGGAAACTCATAGGCAACAACCGAAGAAGAAGACAGAATTTCAATTATAAAATCACCTTCATTTGTAGAGAAGGCAACTCTGCAGTAGATGTATTATGCAACCACATCAAAGGAAAATATGGAAATTTCAAATACGATGACAACACTTTACCATGCAAAATTGAAAATATTGTACATCAAAAAAGACAGGGATATATCTATACACATTGTACATAATCACACTAACACAGAGTACTTCTTCTTCTTCTTATCTTTTGTAAACAAATTCCCACTATATACTTACTATAATGTACAACGTTATTTCAAAAAAAAAAAAAAAAAAAAAAACTTTCTACCTAGGGAGGACAAGATACTATTACCATACCTTTTTTAGTCGCCAAATCTCAATCAACGGCGACTAAAATATTTGTCGCTAAATGTATTAATTTGGCGACTAATTTTTTTTGGTTGCTGAAAATAAGTTTTTCGCGACCAAATTTTTGGTCGCCAAAAAATATGTGACCTTCCGCGACCAAATTTGTAGTTGGTCGGCAAAAGTATACCACTTTCTGCGACCAACATATTTTTTGGTCGCCAAAATATAACCTTCTGCGACCAATAAAATTTGGTCGCCAAAATTAATGATCATTCGCGACTAATTAATATTTGGTCGCCAAACGTCATTTTTTTGCGACCAAAATTTTTTTAGTCGGTAAAAGTGGTCACAAAATGTGTAAATTCTTGTATTGTATGTCCTTTGCAGAAAACAAAAGCCCACTACAAGTCAATCCAATCAAGACAATCACACAATGCCTATAGAATTGCACCATTTATATCAACTGTTATTAGCACCCCTAAACTGTAACTACTAATCTAACTCTAACAAAACATCACAACTGGTACTCAAAAAATTGCTTCACAAAATATATTTCTTAATTCCACTAAACCAAAACATCTGTAAGAGAGCTGGACTGCAATGACACAGCATCAACGCTAATTGACCAGTGGAAATGTGAATTATCAATGCAACTCACATTAAAAAAGAACTAAACCAGTCTTGGTTAAGTATAGGAACCCAAAGAACCCAATTTGAGGTCTTAAAAGGAACATGAAAACGCATAAGAACCCAAAGAATCCAATTCGATATTTAATAGAGCAAAATATTAAACTATAAGCAAGAAGCATTAGAACATCCTTCCAAGTACCTCAAATAGCCCAATCATCATACTCTCTTGTTTATGGAGATTCAAGAATAGATTAACAAATTCTTATACATATAAGATTATGTTAGTATTGTGCCACACCCATAGTATAAATTTTTAGATGTATAAACAACTCTATTTTTTTGTCTGTCGTTATTTATTTTCTATCTTAATATGTGCCCTTTAATTTTAATTGAGAATTTGCACATTGGACTTATAAGAAGAGGATTAGATCAACAATGAAACTTTTTGGATAGATTTATTGAACTTCATTCTTTAACAAATATTAAATGTCTCATGAGATATCATTTGCTTTGAAAAACTTTAAATTTTTCACATTATATTTTTTATTTCAATCAGTGAAACTTGTTTATCACAATGAATGAAAGAAAGTTTTTGATAACAAATTCACATTTAGATGGGTTAAGCAGTCCTACAAATTCACAAACTAAGCAATCTAAATCTTCTAATGAGCTCGTTTGGGAAGTCTTGGTTTGAGATTTTTTGGCTAAAATAGCCACAAAAAAACAAAATAGGTTTTTTAGCCTAATAAGATAAAACATCACATCCAACTCATAATCATTACATTCTTTCTCTCACAAAAAGTCAAAAAAGCCAAAAAGTCCTTCCCAAACGAGGCTTTTTAGCCCCAGACTAAAAAGTCAAAAAGCGAACCCACTTCCCAAACGAACCCAATGAAAACCTTATACAGGTTTATTTTTTAGTTTTCAATTTCAATTGTATATTATTGGGTTAAAGGTTTTGAAATTTCGAATGATTTGATATTTTTTTTTTATAATTGAATAGATGGGTATAAGAAAAAACAAAAAAGTGATTGAGAACAAGAAAAGAGAGAGAAAAAATGATTGATTGATGTATAGTAGAGAAAAAAGTGATTTTGAAATTTTATTCACTAAAATTTTCAACTAAACATGTTGAATTTTTTTTTTTGTTCAAAAACATATTCTGAGAGACAAACCAAACATGTTTATAATTTCTCACATAAAATATATATATATATATATATATTTAAAAATTGAATTTGGACCACCCAAAAGATAAAATTATAT